CAAAATTAAAAGTTTATATTGCCTAGAAATTAAGAGCAAGGCTAGTGATGGATTAATGGTTTAACTTTTTTAAGTTATGGTGGTTTAGATAGGATCCATATTGTTCAATCTTTAGATCAATCAAAGAGCCAAACCAATTTTTGGGTTTTACCAAATTTAATGATTTTCAAATAATAAAAAATATTCTTCAATCTTGGCTTCTTCTACAATTTTTTTTTTTTTCCGCATCTTGATAATAATGAAATTGTGATTCTAAAGTTGATGGGTCATTTTACTTTCTTTCTTTTCTTCCCTTTCTTAAAAGATACTGGTCAAGTCACTTTGCTTTGAAATGAAAAATAACAACAGTAGCAATAATTTAGTTGGCACCTTAAAAAATTGGAGAAATTACCGTTCCTGTGTAGTTTAAAAAAATTATTAGATATTAATGAAATTTTTTATAATTTAAAATATATGTGACTTATTTATAAATATTTTTTCTAACAATCAATGCCATGTTTTTTGTCTTAAAAAAATCATTTTCATATTATACTCAAAAGGAACTATGCCCCTCTTGGTGGGACTTTCTACCAATTCATTTCTATAATCTAAATAGTTTATTTCGTAAAATTCGTTGAGTAGATAGCTCATTCAAAAAATTATATTGATCGAATATTAGCAATTCCCTGATCAAATTACATTTATCTTTAAAAAAAAATGAGAACAGCTCCCCTCAAGACTATTCTCTCCACACCTCTCAAGACTTCACTTCGTGAGCAGCTCTCTTCAAGACTAATGATAGTCTTGAATATTGTCAATAAAAAGTAGAAAACATAAAAAAAATATTTATAATTTTAATATATTTTTGCTCTTCTTGAATATTGTCAATAAAAAGTATAAAACATAAAAAAAATATTTATAATTCTAATATATTTTTTATACATCTCAAAATACTTTGACATAGTCTTATTCATTTTTTATATAATTTTCAACACTAACAACCGTCCTTATGTTTGTTTTTAACATTTTAGAAAAATTAAGACACTAGAAATTTGAACTCAAAAAAATTAATAAATTATTCAAATTCAATTCTTAAATGATAATATGTCTAAAATAAATCTCAACTACACATGACATTTTTTTGAACATCTGATAAACCAAAAAGGACACAAAGAAAGAAGGTCACAATCACTATTTGCCATAGATAGCCAAAATCACTAACCAAAGGCTTGAAGGACACGAAAAGCTATATATACCTCCCATGATAAAAGCAAACTATGAAAAAAGTTAATTTCTTTTATAACAATTCTGTCCTTACATACCCTAGCCCTGTGTTACTGATTTTTTTTTTTTTTCTTATATATATTTGAAATACACTTTATATGTCTAGTATATTTTTAAGGGGGTAGAGAAAGGAAGTCACGTGTAAACCATCAGAGAAGTGGTATAGATAGAAATTAATGAAATTATATATTCTATTATATCCTGTCTCTGGATAGATTTGGAGCCCAATTTCTCATACGTAAAGGTTGAAAAAGTGCGAATAAATTAAAAACCTTCGATTGTTATTGACTTTCGATGGCATTAGATCCTAAAAATTTTAAGTTTGATTTTGTCTTTGGGGAGACTTGAATCCCAACCTCTCATACATGAGGGTTGAGGAAATACTAGTAAGTTAGAAACTTTCAATTGTTACTGACTTCAATGGCATTAGATTCTAAAAATTCTGAGTTTGATTTTGTTCAATTACTTTAAAGGTGGATGAAGATACCTCTCTTCTTTGATTGATTTTTTTATTGAGTTTTAGTGATTTGAAATGACCAATAGAAAAGGATAATTATCTACACCTGCCTTTGTGGTGAACAAAATTACATTTCTAACAGTTATTTAGTAGTATTGGAGCATCATCATAGTGTTTTTGTATGGGATGCTCTTGACCAATAAAATCTCACCAATAGTATTTTATTAATTTGAGAACACTATATTAACATGTTAAGTTAGTGCTCTAAAACTACATGATAGGAAATTTAGAAACTCAAATTTCCACACGCATAGTGATCACAATTTCTAAAATTTTCCAAACTTTTGCAAGAAATGTTTTCTTTTATTTTTCAAAATAAATTTTTACCCACTCCCTTGCCCACCACATCCAACCACCAACCACCTATCAATAACCACCACACCACTACCTTTGGTCGCAAAAACACCACCTTCGGCCACTTTTCGTGACTTCCCGTTACTCTTCAATTGCCATCCCATGACTTCTGGCTACCTTTAGCAACTCATCCCAATTTGTGTGAATTTTCTTGCCCCACTATCAAAACCTCCCCATTCACCATCTCAAATTTTTTTTTCCAAGGACAAGTAGTTGAATAGAGTTAAGTGGCATAATTTATTTATTTTCAAAATATATATAATAAAATGTTAAATATTTTAATATACTTGCATTCGGTATAGGATGGGCAGTGAAATACCCCAATTCTTCATTTGGTTAATGAAAACTCGTGTAATTTGGGACAAGAAAAAATTATCATTTTAATTGAAATAAAAATAACTCAAATTCAATGAATTGTTGTTATGAATGGAATTTTAAGGACTGTGGGACATGATGGTTGAAATCATCACAAATCCATGTTTACAAAAATAAAGGTGCTTTTGTTTGGTCTTTTTGGAGTGGGATTAGGGTTTAGAGCCAGTCAAAGTAGTCGTTGGATCATGGATTATTGTGAAGAAGAATATATTAATGATGTTTGTCACAGTTGTTAGCAATAATTGGAATCTTGATATGACATGTCTTTAATTACAATGGTATGAAATTCATTTACAGGAGAGAACTTATTGGAGAACACAGAGGGAAAAAAGTTTAGTATTATTAACAACTTTAATCTATTGTATTATATTTAGAGGGTATGTTTGCCACATTTCAGTTGTTTAAATGCAAAAACTTTTGAATTTATTTCCTTTAAGCTCTTAAAATATTTGACAAGTAAAATTACAATGTTTGGTAAATAAATATTTTTCATTAAAAATATCAAAAACACTTCCTTATTTTTTTAAAAAACAAAACATTTTTTGTCCTTCGATTTTATTGGAGATTGGCTGAAGAAAATAATCCACTAAAAATAAATCAAAAAAGATTTTGCATTCAATATTAAAATTCTAGTTTCAAACGTTCTACAACTCATAATCATATTATGAAAAATGAGGCGTGAAAAAATGGTAACAATTTTGTCTAAGCACACATCAAAATAATTACCTCATTTTTTAAAAAATCACATCATTTTTTCTCATTCGGTGTTATTTAGGGTTCAACTTGTCTCATGTTAAGATCAAGACTGGACTTGTCTAGTCCGGTCCATGGGCTCATTTTTGGGCTCTGTTTCGATAATTTGAATAGTTCAAGGGAAAATTACCCATAGGTCCCATGTGGAACATGTGGACACCATTTAATCCCATAACTTTTTGAGTACACCCAAAAGTCCTTTTTCCCTCTCTCTCTGCTTTTTGCTTCCCTCTTTACACCTCCTCCTCTAACCCTAATCTCAGTCCTAAAGTCAAACAAGAAGGCGATGAAGAACAAGAACAAGAAGACGATGAAGAACAAGAACAAGAAGACGCTCATCCTCAGATCTGTGCTTAAATTGAACAGATTTGTGTATATATCTTTGTCAATTTCTCTCTCTTTCTCTCTCTATTTACAGATTTTTTTTGGGATAGTTGTTGATCTATGGTTGTTGTTGTTGATGATGAAATAGATCTATAATATCATTGAAACAGATCTGTAATGACTCAGATTTGTACAGATATCACACAAATTTGTAATGAGAAAATTTTCGAATTCTGAACAAGTAATTTTCGAGTTTTAGTTACAGGCGGTGAAAACTGTAAAATTTTGCATTTTCAAATTTTTTTTTTTGGTGCTAGAATGAATCATGGTTTAAAACTATAAAATTTTACAGTTTTATAACATTTTTTAGAATTGTAAAATTTTACAGTTAAATTAAAAAAAAAAAAGGATTTTTTGGTAACAATTAAAAATGTATTGGACTAATTGGTGCAAGTATTTTGTTTTGGGATTAGCTAGGTTTTGAACTTAGTACATGGGACTTATCAGTAAGTTCCCCATAATTCAATGTGTAGAATTCGTCGAGTACTATATTCTTGTAAAAAATCACATTGATTGGATATCAATAACTATTTGATCGGATCAAATTTGTATTAAAAAAATGAATAGTGAAAAAATTAACGGTTGGCAAAATTTTAATCCGATCAAATAGCTATCAATATCCGATCAACGTAATTTTTTTAAAAATATAGTACTCAACAAATTTTACACATTGAACGGTTTGGATTATTGAAACGAAACCCAAAAATGGGCCTATAGGCTTGACTAGACAAATCAAGTCTTGATCTCAACAAGAAACAGTCTAGATCCCAATATGAAACAAAGTTGGATCCTTTATTTATCACCAATGAAGGACTAAATTTTTCCCTAATCTAAATCTAATAAATGGGGATTGATGAAAGCATGGATACCAAAAACTAGCAGTTGGGCACCACATAAAAATATATGTCCGATAAAAAGCTCCACTGAATTCTACCCTTTGGGAAAGTAGAAAAAAGATGGCTCCACACCCCAATCTATAGCAAAAAAGCTTTATCCCAAAATTAATGGCAAACACCATTCAACTAAACACACCCTCCAATGGACCCCTCCTGTGTTCCTAAAAGCAACCCCAATAATCTCTGATCTACTAACCCTTACCTCATTCCCATTCTTCATTTTGCAAATCTTTCTCTATTCCCCATGCACTAATCTCTAAAAATATATATATATATTCAATTAGTTTTAAATTGTTTGTCAGACACGACAAAATAAGAACTTGCAAAAATAGATAAAATTTTAAATTATTTTGATAAATTAAAAATATTTAATAAAATTTTTTAATTGATAAAAATAAAATAAAATTTCAATATTTTTAAGTTGTTATTTTTTGTACAGAACAAATATAATTTGAGACGGAAAGAGTATTATAAACTGACATAACAATCTTCCACTCGTTATCTGGGGTGTCAGTATTTGTCCCTCTTTTTCGTTTCATGAGTTTCAATGGAGATTTTCAAACCCTCATACTTCAACCTTGTTCTTGTTGCTTCAATGCTCGTTTCCATAGTGTCTTCCATTGATCCCTTCTCAGAAGCACTTTTGAGCTTGAAATCAGAGCTCATAGACCATTCCAACACTTTGAGTGACTGGTTTGTCCCTTCTGATCCAAACCCATCTCAAAAAATCCAAGCTTGTTCATGGTCTGGTGTCAAATGTGACAACAACTCAACAATGGTCACTGGTTTAGACCTCTCTTTGATGAATCTTGGTGGTTCGCTATCAGGAAACCAATTCAATCTCTTCACAGACCTTGTTGATCTCAACCTCAGTTACAATTCATTCTCAGAAAAACTTCCAATTGGGATTTTCAATCTCACCAATCTAAGAACCTTAGACATCAGCAGAAACAACTTCTCAGGCCAATTCCCAAATGGGGTCTCCAACCTCCATTTCTTGGTGGTTCTTGATGCCTTTAGCAACAGCTTTTCCGGAGACTTACCCGCCGCGGTCTCAAAAATTGAGTCCCTCAAAGTGCTAAACCTAGCTGGGAGTTATTTCAGTGGCCCAATCCCATCCCAATATGGGTTTTTCAAAAAGCTCGAGTTCGTTCATTTAGCAGGCAATTTGCTAAGCGGTGACATACCACCCGAGCTTGGTCAGCTCGGAACAGTGACCCACATGGAGATTGGCTACAACACATACCAAGGAACCATACCTTGGCAATTGGGTAACATGAGTGAGCTTCAATACCTTGACATTGCTGATTCAAACCTTTCTGGTTCAATCCCAACCCAACTCACCAACCTCACTAAACTTCACTCACTGTTTTTGTTCAAAAACCAACTCACTGGTTTGGTTCCATGGGAGTTTAGCAATGTCAAAACCCTAACAAACCTTGATCTCTCTGATAACCAACTTAGTGGGCCCATCCCTGAGAGCTTTGCTGAGCTGAAGAACCTTAAATTGTTGAGTCTGATGTACAACAACATGAATGGCACTGTACCACAAGGTATTGCAGAGCTTCCATCACTTGAGACTCTTTTGATTTGGAACAATTTCTTTGATGGGTCACTCCCAAAAAGCTTGGGAACAAACTCAAAGCTCAGATGGATTGATGTTTCAACCAACAATTTCAATGGAAACATTCCAGATGGTGTGTGTTCAGGAGGGGTTTTGCTCAAGTTGATCCTCTTTTCAAATAATTTTTCGGGCGGGCTATCTCCGTCACTCACCAACTGTTCGTCGCTTGTTCGCTTACGAATCGAAAACAATTCATTCTCAGGTGATATCCCTTTGAAATTCAGTGATTTGCCCGATATTGAGTATGTCGATTTGTCAAGAAACCGATTCACAGGTGGGATTCCTGGTGATATATACCAAGCTGCCAAGCTTCAATATTTCAATGTGTCAAATAATCCTGAGCTTGGAGGTGTAATCCCGGAAAAAACATTGTCTCTGCCGCTTCTTCAGAACTTTTCAGCCTCTTTTTGTAACATTACCGGTAATCTTCCAACTTTCCAATCATGCAATTCTCTGTCTGTGATTGAATTGAGCAGGAACAAGATATCAGGTAATGTCCCGGGAAGCATATCAGATTGCCAGGTTCTTGAGAGGATCGATTTTGCTAACAACAACTTGACAGGTCACTTGTTAGAGGAGATTGGTAGTCTTCCTAATCTGGGTATTGTAGATTTTTCGTTCAATCACTTCAACGGTTCAATACCGGCAAAGCTTGCTGATTCTTGGAGCCTAAGGGTTTTGAACGTGTCGTTCAATAATCTCTCCGGTTCCATTCCACCCAAAAAGAAGTTCAGATTGATGGGTAATAGTGCTTTTGTGGGAAATCCGGGGTTGTGTGGAGTACCCTTGCAATCTTGTCCCGGGACAGCAAAATTTCCCAATGGACTCCAATTGGGAATCAGCAAGACACAAAAATTTGCTTGGGTTCTCATACTATGTGCTGTGGTGGTTCTGTGCATAACACTTTCAGTTTTTGGCATATTCTACTTTCGAAATGGAAGCAAAAGGCGGTGGAAAATGGTTTCGTTCACTGGATTCCCTGAATTCACAGCAAATGATGTTTTGAAAAGTTTCAATTCTATGGAAACCGACGAGACGACACCTCCATTGTCAAGTTCAGTTTGCAAAGCGGTTTTGCCAACAGGGATTACTGTTTCAGTGAAGAAGATTGAGGTGGATCAAAAGAAGATGACCGCTATGATAGAATTTATAACTCGTTTGGGTGATACGAGGCACAAGAATTTGGTCAGATTGTTGGGTTTTTGCTACAACAAGAGTTTAGCTTATCTTTTGTATGATTACTTGCCTAATGGAAATCTGTCTGAGAAGATCAAAATGAAGAGAGATTGGGCAGCCAAGTATAGAATTGTGATTGGCATGGCAAGGGGGCTTTGTTTCCTTCATCATGATTGTTGTCCTGCAATTCCACATGGGGATTTGAAGGCAAGTAACATAGTGTTTGATGAAAATATGGAGCCTCAGTTAGTGGAATTCGGGTTTAAATTTCTGAAACAATGGAACAGCAATCCATTTCCAGTAGCAAATTCCAAGATTGAAACAGGTACATACTTGACTAACTTTCATTGATATGAATTACTCCTTACAACTGCAAATAGCCAGTCTTGTTAGTATTTTTATTCTTAAAAATCATGAAAGGGTTCTTAATTGTTTTTCCATGAAGGTTGGTTATAGGCATCCATGATTTCCTCTTGTTTAGTTGTTGTTTTCGTTTTCTATTTTCAATTTTCAGAAAAATGCATATTTGTTTGGCGTATTGTTTTTGAAAACTATTTTAGAAAAAAATTCTGAAAAACTACTCACTTTTTAGGAAATAATCAAATATTATTATGAATCACTCCTTACATCTGCAAATAGCAAGTCATCTGCTTGGCTGTATTTTTGTTTCTTATTTTCATTTTTCAGAAAAAACAATTTGGCGAACTGTTTTAGGAGAAAAAATTCTGAAATAACACACTTTTTAAGAAATACGACAATTTTGTTTTCAAGTTTTTGAAAATTATTTTTGCAAAAAAAAAAAAAACAGTATGAAACAATGGGTGGTTTTGAATCATTGTCTTTGTTTTTGAAAAAACAGAACCTGTTGTAGGAAAAAAAATTGAAAACTACCCCATTTTCAAGAAACACCAAAAAGTTGTTTTTGAAAACTACCCATTGTTTTTGCTTCCAAAAAATGAAAGAAAACACAACCAAACAAAGCGAATGCGACCATATACAATTGCAAAGTTGTACCAAGTTTTTGAACAGTTCTAGAATATGTTCTATGGCTTCTATCCTCAACATAGTAGATTTTCCACTAGTACATACTAACAATTTGAAGTTTCCTGGAAAATTCCTCCATAGCTCTATCTGTCTAGTTAAGAGAATGTTTGGTGTACTTCGTAAGCTTTTTCATAGAACAGAACATGAGATTGTGTGTGTTTTGTTCATGTAAAAGTGGTTTTTACAGCTAATATTCCTTATCATTCAATCATTACGAATAGGAAAGTACTTGTACTAATTTTCAAATAAAGCATAAGCTTGACTGCTCGAGTCTAAATTACTTTTCCAACTGTTCATTGTCTGAAAAATACAGTAATTTTATAATTATGATAGGGTTTGGTTCCACGTGCCCTTTTTTGTAATTCTTTGTGGTCAATTCATTTATTTGTTATCCTCCCAAAATAATTATAAAATGGTTAGAAATTTTATAAAATTACCAAAATGTCCTTCCCATTCTCTCTTCTCTCTTCCCCTTTCTCTCTCCCCTGCAAACACTAGCCCACTGAAAGAGGCAAGGTTGGTGTCAGGTGGGGACGGGAGAGGGCGAAGATGAGTTGCAGAGGGCAGAGGAGGATAGGGAAGGGGCTGCCTGCACCAGGGACGGTAGTGAAGGGGTTGACCAGCAGTGAGTGAGGTTTTGTAGAGGAGATAGAATGAAAGGGCATTTTGGTAATTTCGCAAATTTCACTCCATTTTGTAGTTATGTTCTGGTAAATCATTTATTTGTAATTTTATGTTTCTAATCATTTTCCTGGAAAATGGAAATCTGGTTCTACAATTTTTTTTCCAGGTGAATTCAACACTGCCATAAAGGAGGAACTCTACACGGACATCTACAACTTTGGGGAGGTCATTCTTGAACTTTTAACCAATGGTAGGCTGATAAGTGGAGGAAGCATACATGGCAAACCAATGGAGACACTTCTAAGTGAGATTTACCAGGAAAATGAAGTTGGTTCCTCCAATTCATCTAGAGATGAGATAAAGATGGTTCTTGAAGTTGCTTTGCTCTGCACCAAAAGTAGGCCTTCTGAGAGGCCATCCATGGAAGATGCATTGAAGCTTCTCTCCGGGTCGAAGCCGCACACAAAATAACAGAACTCGTTAACTAGAAAAATGATGACTCAGTGCATGAGACTCCTGGTTAACGAACCATCAACAGATATTACGAGTAGTTTAGCTGATAATAAAGAAAGTTTGATTTTTCTTCTTTTTTTTTTTCCGAGTGGAGGAAGAATGTTGTGCATAATGTAGGTACGTAAGGTGAGGGAGAAGGGCTGTTGGGGCTCGAACCACGGACCAGATGAGTAGGAGTTGAAGGGCCCAACCACTGGGCTGTTATCTGCTTTGCTCATTGAATTGCATTTGGTTGATAGCATGTTTCTGTCACTTTTATTAGAACTCCATGTTGTAAAATAGAGGCCTCTATAGTTTTGTGGATTCTTATCTTGTGTAATTAGTGAATTGATTACTGTATTTGGTTAATCTCTCCCTCTGAATATATATAAAAAAATGGTTATAATTTCATGTTCTTACAGTGGGAATGAGAGAACACACCCACCCACGACTGGACTGAGGGTTGCTGCTGTGCCTTATGGCACAGCAGCCTTGCTGTGAGGTCTGGTGAAGGCATTTTTTGACTGTATTTTGATGATCTGTGAACCGTTCATATTGTAAGGTTTGTCGAGTATATCATTCATATAAAAAATCAAATTAATCGGACATCTGTAATCCCATGATCACGTCCTAATTGTTTTTAAAAAATTATTAAAATCATGTTAACCGTTTATTTTTTGAAAAACAAATGTGCTCTTTTTAGGAGGCTACAAATGTCTAATTTACTTGATTTTTTGCATTAATGATCTATTTGATTTTTTACATGAATCTATTAGACGAACCTTATAATATAAACGGTTCGAATCATCGAAAAAGATTCAGGACACGCCACCAATGGGCCTCACAGCAGCTTGTTGTGCCTTAAGGCACAGCAGGAACCCCATTTCCCGCACGACTCTACCCTCATAACACACAAAAGCAGAGGGAGGGGAGAGAGAGCGTATGCCCTTCTCAACTGATCGGATTCAGTTTAAGCTCCATCTCATTTTTGTGTCAAAAAGGTGCATCTATTTTTTTTTTTTTTTTTTGGACTCCATAGAATTCCCTCAAGTAAACCAACCCATTAGAAACTTTTAGTAGAGAAGCATAGTGCTAATGATCAACCAAAGACTGCTATTGTCACGATCCAAACATGTCCCTAAAAGTTTAGGCCATGATTAGCCTGTATTTAGGCCTCAAAACAATAATTTCACAAAATTCAATAACGGGGCTTAAAGTGAAAGCAAATAAATAACAGAATGTCCATTGAGCAGTGCTTATATGCCAAGATTTTTTTTTTTTTTTTACATCCAGTCACAAATAAAGAGAGTTCATGTACATAGATCATATATATATATATATAAATCTAAGTCATGTAGGTATACACAAAGAGCTAGAAGCCCAAAATTACATATTTACCAAGTGTTCAATAAAAACCACCAAAGACTTGACAAAAATGTAGCATAGAGACTCCTCAAAAAGGCAAAAAGGCTTCAACTTTGGAGGCTTAACAAAACAGGTCCAACAAAAGACTCCTGGAACTGACCTAGCTGATCACCTACATAAATATATATAAATACGCTGATCACCTTCATAAATATATATAAATACGGAGTGAGCAAGACTCAGTGAGTAAAAATAATGTAAGGAGGTTCATATGAATGAGCATATGTCTTGAAGAATAAAGATATAAATCATATACATGTCTTATTCATAATCACATTCCAAAACGATCTCAGGCCCACATAAGATGGAATGACCTTGGCCCTAACATAATACGGAACGGCTTTAGACCCAACATAATACACAACGGCCTCAGGCCCAGCTGTTTTAAACATTGTAAGGTAGATGGAACATCGGCATATCTCCATCACCCTCGGCCTTAGGGCCTTTAATCATAAATAATCCACATCAGACATAATGGCCTCGGGCCCATTATACATAACAAAAATAGAACGATCTCGAGTCCATTTTATATGTCATTGCTCAATCATTCCAATCAAAACACAATTTCTATAACGTATGCCATTCACGATCAAAAATACATAAATCGTAATAAAAAATACATAAACATGACATATCATTACACTACTATTATTCACAGTGATTTGGTTGAGCAACGGTCCCTTCCGACAAGTGACCTACACATGGCATTCATTTTTTTTTAGTTTCTTGACTTAATTATTCTTCTGTTTCATTCACTTTCTATTCATTTTTAAACATATTCAGAGGGTCGAAAAGGGTAACGGAAATTGACAGAATTTTTCCCCAATTCCCGCATGTGCAGAAAGTTCTCACCGCACGTGCGGAGAGGTGTGCCACACGTGCTTTTATTTCAAAATGCCCGACTTGCCTCCTCTGTTTTTCGCACGTGTAACTGCGAGCCCCGTATGTGCGGCTATGCATCCCACACGTGCAGCCGTGAGCCCCACACATGCGGTCCTAGGCTCTGTTTGTGTAGTCCGAAAATCCAACAAATTCAAGCTTTCCAAACTCATTTATGAGGTTCAATTCAAGCAATTTCACTTAAAAAACATGACATATGACTATAATAAAACTCTAGCTCAATGAAATCAACCTTCTTTTAATTTGACATATAGAACTCTAATTACCATGATTCCTTCATTCCTTCATCCTTGCATATACATACACATATACATGAGCTCAAAGCAAGCAAAGACTATGATACGAAGGCAATTTGCTCATAAGACAACTCAAAACACAAGAATCAACTCTTTAATTGACCAAATCCAAAGATTACATGTTCAATTTCATGAAATATATTCAATCAAGATCATAACTCATAAACCCTAACTTCTATGAGTGTAAAAGCTTCATCTTAGGGCTTGATTCTCATCAATTGAAGAGATATTCTAGGTAGTTGAGTTGATTATCACTTACCTTGAACTAGATCATTGCTTTCCCCCTTCAACTCCCAAGTCCCAAGGTCCTAGATTGAGTTCTCTCCTCTTCCTCTCTTTTTCTCTTCTTTTCTTCTCTAGAAGTTCTCCAACAAAATATCTTGAGGTCAAGTCTAAGTTCTCTACACAAGGCTCAAGCATATATCCTCTGTCACTTAAGCTTCTTGAGTCAAATTAAGGTTAATTAAGAGTTTAGCTTAAATAAATTTAATTAATTCATTATGAATCAAATTTTTAGAAAACTTCATATTATGTCCTAAAAATCATGCTAATCATAACTATAAAGTCAATTTCAGTTTATCACTCCTCTAAGACTTTCAATTTTCAATCCAAATGTTGTAATTCCAACAAATTTTCTCATAATCGACAGATACAAATTGATAAACATGTAAGTCACACATTAAAATATGAAGTTTCACATCAAAAATATAAACACACATATAATGAGGGAATTAAAACATATGAGAGGATTGAGTTATTATAGCTACAATTTTTTGAAATTTAAAGTCCTCTTCATGTGTTTGTAAATTTTTGGTTGAGCTGAGATCGACAATTAAACCAAAACTTCAAAGTAAGAACAAGATCAAGGAATTGTGGTTGTGCTCACCACTTGACAGATTCAAGAACTTTTTGGAGATCAAATGTGAAGAAGAAACAAACCAAACTTGTATTAATCACTAATACAAAGGTTTGGATAAAGGGAAAAGATAACTACCTAATTTGCTAAGTTACAGATCTCCAATGATTCTAAAACTACTCCTAGATAATCATGAGCTTTGTGAGCGTTGTTGATGCCCTGCTCTTGAATCTCGCCTCCCTTTTATAGTCTCTCCGACCACGATCTCTGCAGCCACCAATGTCTCCGCGATCTTTGCACTTCATGGGCCAATTGTTCTTAGCCCCATTTTCTGAAGTCACTAATTGCCATTCCACCTTAACTGCTTTCAACTGCCTCTGTCCCGTGCCATTTCCAGCCTTGCCATCTGACTTGAATCTCTTTTGCCTTCATGCCACTTGTCAAATTTTGCACGAACTACATGGCACTCCATCAGCTTTCTTTGCCAACTCAGCATCCCTGTCGACATGCAGAATGCAATAATTTGGCACTAACATCATGACATATTGTTTTGTTTTTAAGTGAAATGCTCCAATTCAGTCATGTCATTTGTCATCATTCTTTTTTTTATCATTTTTCTTGTAGAGCGTTACTCATTTTTAAGTCAGGGCTGGAGCTGGACCACATGGACTGGCATGTTCAGTCAAAGAAACTGTGAACAACGAACAAGTCTGAAAGATATTGGTGAAAATGAATTCAATAAACAATGTTCCATCATCTCTTTAAGCAGATCTAGTCAGTTTCAAGGTTAGCATTGTGTTGTCTATTCTCTCCACTAAGTTCAAAGTCCTACAACATTCTGTCATGCTTCTGCAATACTGCACTGGATACATGTAAAATTAAAATGATTTCAACAGCTTGAAGGGACTAGATTTAAGCAACAATGATATCAGAAGCTTCGTGCCAATCCGACATATGAAAACAACATGATCTCTTCATTTTAATGACGAGGAACCTCTCTAAGACAGAGAGTTTGACAAGGAATGATAAATCTCTTTCATCAAGAGACTGCATAGGAACTTCTTCACCGAAAGAGGGATTATTCTTATATAAAGACCAAAAAACAATAAATGAATGTTGACCCAACAATGTATGTCAAGTTATCCAACACCCTCCCTTACATGCAAACGTGGAGATGCAAACATCTAAACAGAGAGAGAAGAAAAGAATGCAAATGACAGAGAAAGGAAGCAAACCCAAATACAAACACACAGACTTGAAGCCCAGACCTCTCCCAATAACATATATCAAGAAGTGACACAAGAAGTGGAGTTTAAAACAAAGGCTAGATCCTCCACATACCAAGGTGACATCCTCCATTTCATGTCAGGAATTTACTTTTCTTGCAACCAGCACACAGATGACATCCCACCTGAACTAGGAAACTTTAATTGAGGTGCGATACTGAACTTTATTCCATAATAGCCTAAACAGATCAATCCTAACAACATCATTTCAAAAAAAATTATCATTTGTAACACTTAATATCATCTAAAATAAATTAGCAATCAGTAAAATATCACATCATCTAATGACCCTACATCAATAATTTAAATGAAACAATAGGACATCAAAGTATCTGCAGTATAATATTTTTCCAAGTATTGTAAATTGCATGATTAAAACATGTGACCCGTGAGATTCTTCATTCCTCTTTCAATTTAAACCAAATAAACCGAAATTACAAACCACTTGTCCAAAACAGTCAATAAAGATCACATTTTTTAAAATGTGATCTTTGTTGAACAAAACAGGAAAATAAACAACAAAACAGGAAAGTAGCAATGAACTTGAACTCGTCAAATTTAATTGCAACTAACTTTGTACCATTAAGTTTAGCAAAAAAGGAAGAGCAACTACAAGACATAATTACATCATTTTATCTCCTTTGACTTACTCGATTCAAGTGCGAAGCGAGCGCATTCCTAATCTTTTGCCCATTCTCATCCAACTCTCCTTCAAAAGGGGGCAGCACTTGGTCCCTCGAGTACCCCACATTTTCATCAGGCAATGCCTCACTACACTTGATAAGAAAATTATGCAACAAACAACATGTAACAATAATGAAAGGGAAAGACTCAATGCATTCCTCTTTCCACCGATTCAATAGAAGTTGCCACCGAGCACGAACTCTACCAAACGCCGTCACAGCCAATTCCATTCCGCGACAATGAACCGAATTGAATGCTCTTTCTGAGGAATTCAATCCATTCTTATCATCTGATTCAACAAAAGGAGTGAGAAGCCATGGCAATAGTGGGAAACAAGAATCACCCAATATGTATTGAGGGATTGAAATGCCATCACTGAGCTCAAACGCTTGCCCATTCAACAATTCCCTCGAATCCTCAACGCCAGAAAACAATTTCGATTGGCGTAAGATTGTTTCAGGTTTCATCGTACTCGGCCACCCAGCAGACACATCCAAGAACCTCCCTTCTGAATCAACCAATCCCTGAACCATCAATGACCCATTTTCACCTAACAAATCACCATCAATCTGAAACCGATCAAACCCTAAAACCCCACAACAATTAGGAAGCGAAATCCAACCAAAACCCACTATAATTCGTTTGATATCTGATCTGAATTCGAACAAATGACCCAACCTATCATTGATAACCTTGCAAACCATGTAGAAAGCGCGACAAGCGGTGGCGGAATCGAGCATGAAACGGCGGGCGATGGACTTGTAGGAAGCGCCGTGGGAGAGGCGGAAGAGGGCGGCGGCGAGGGCGTAATTGGGGGGGATCGGAGAGAGAGAGTTCAGAGAAGGTGTTAGGAGACGGAGGAGGAGAGTGAATGAGGACTTGGACATGCGAAATGCGTCGACCCATCGGGGGTCGTAGTCGGCGGCAGTGGTGGCGGAGAGGAAGCGGTGGAACCAGCACGGAGGTGGAGTGGAGGCAGAGGAGGAAGGCGGTGGATTTATTGGGAGGGAGAGAGAGGGAGGGGGGTTGAGGAGAGAGAGGAGTTTGGAGAGAGAAAGAGAGGTGGAGGAGATCTTAGATTCGAGGGTTAGGGTTTGGGAGGGGAGGAGGTGGAGGTCGTGGTGGGTCAGGAAGGAGTGGGCGGAGGAGGTGGCGGAGGCGACGAGGGAGATGAGTTGGGTGAGATTTTGGTGGTGGTGGTGGTGGTGGTGGTTGATGGGGTGGTGGTGGAGGTGGAGGTGGATATTTCGGGGTTTTTTGGTGCGGCGTTTGGTGGTGGACTTGGCGGCGGCGGCGGCGTTTGTTCCTCCTCCGCCAGCTGCCATAGCTGTGAAGTGACAATGTTACTGTTGCTTTCCAGGAAATGTTTCTTGTTAAGGCATTATTGGAAAACGGATATTTTAAATAATTTTTAAAAAATTAAAATTTTAAAAACAACGAAAAATTCAAAATCATGTCGCCAACTATAATGGTTGTCACTAAGGGTGAGTAACGGATATGTTGATTTGTTAAAATTGATTGATCCGAATTGATTCGTTGCATTTTAGACGGATGCGTGATGACGAACGGACAGTTACAGATTGATTTTCTCCAATTCGCCAATCTGGCGGACGGATAGCGGATTTGAGATTCCTTTGACCGCAACTAAATCGCCAAATCGCGAACACCCCTAGTAATTATAAGACTTTGTGTTTTCAGTTTATTTAAATATTCTGTTTATATTTTCAATTAAAAAAGAGTTTAAATATTCTGTTGAAAAAAAAATTTCAACTTGAATATCTTTTTTGAATTGAAAAAAATAAACATATTATTTATCTATATTTTTTGATTTTTAAATCTATCTCTAAAAATAATAAATAGAAAATATGATATATGCTGGTTGGTTTTTGTTTTCAAAAACATATATAGATGTAACAATACAAAGACATACAATCTCTACTACTACTCCGTTCATAGTTTTGGTGGTTTGAATTGTTTTTATATTTTAAGAACCACATATTATAATACTTTATGTAGATGAGGCATGCTGTGATTGTCGTATGTGGATGAGACATGTAGTGATTGTGATATTCTAAAGTTTCAAATTTTCTTCCTTTGGATAAGGCATGCACTGATTGTAATATTTTTTTAAGTCATTAACTGTAATTTTTTTTTTTTTGGAGGAAGTGCACAAGTTGAATTATGTTGAAAATTTATAAAATTTTAAACCGCCAAACCGATTCGTATCTATCTACCAAACCGCCAATCCGCTCAATCCACATCCGCCGGATTGACGGACGGATGCGGATTGATTTTCTCCAATCCGCCAATTTGGCAAACGGATGGCGGATTGGAGGTTCCGTGGCCGCAACCGACCCGCGCGCCACCCCTAGCTGCCACCATCCATGGCCACTACCTACCGATGGCCATCCAATGATTTCACTGCTCTCTTGTCACCATTAACACCACTCACCATTCTTCATTGCAAAACTAGTCTCGTAGCCATTGCTACCCTACAGCCTTAACTTATCATCGCGACATCTTTATCTTTCAAAAATCATTTTTTCTTGAATGATGGAAGTGAAGTAAGCATGGTAGGTTGCGAATGCCAGAGAGACGTTTGTAAATGAGGGGTATGTGGCATTGGAGAGTGTAAGAAAATGGATAGATGGAGTTAGGAAGGCTGAAGAGGGGCTAGGAGTAATGCAGTAGGATGTTAGAATGGTTGAGGAAGATGACGTGGAACTGACGGTAACAAGGTCGTATGATGGAAGGGTAGCCATTGGTTAGAAGGGTAAGGAAAATGAAGTCGGTTGGAAAAGGGGTGGGACTGGAAAAGAGATAAAGGAGAATAAAGGTGCATTTTCATTATTTCAATAGTGGATTTCACTTCTTTGCAATTATTTTTCATTCTCATTTTGTAATATTTTCTTCAGTTTTTATTTCTCTACATTTTGCATTTCTTTGTGTGTAATATCTACGTTTGTGTTGTTATTGATCTTTATGGCCGCATTTATTGATGGTTTTTTTCGATTAATTAAGTTAAATTGGTAATGCATTGCACGTCCACTACCATATCAGTCATTTTGAATCAAGAATCTACTGGTGCTTTTATTTGTGAGCGTGGTTTGCGACAATGAAACCTCTTGTCCTCTACCCTTTTATACAGTGTATAGAGAAATTTGGGGCTAGTATTAATAAAGTTGTTCAAAAAAGGAAGCGAAAGGGTTTTAATGTTGTTTGTTAGAGGTGGTCTTTACATCTCACATTTGTTTTTTTGTGAATGGTTTGATATTGAGGAGGTAATCGCAATGTTTTTCCAAGCCTCGAGCTATTAGCATGATTTCTAATATTCCTTTTTTATAGTAAATATCCATGAGTTCCAGTTTTACATAAAAAGTTTCAAATGACACGTATAGATACATTTTGGAGATAGTACAATCTAAGCCAGTTGTCTTGGTGCAATCGCTACATCAATAGTGCCTTTGTATGTTATGCAAACTAACAAAAGTTCCAGTGGCTATTACTAGTGCCATTGAGAGCACTACAAGAAAAAACATTTTTGGCGACCACCTATTTTTTTTGGTCGCAAATAGTCTACTTTCTGCGACCAAAATTTAACTTTTGGCGACCACAATTTTTTGGTCGCGAAAATCACCTTTTGGCGACCAAAAAAAAAAGTTGGTAGCGAAAAGTATACCTATTTGCGACCAAAGGCTTTTTTAGTCGCGGAAGATCACCTTTTGGCAACCAAAAAAAAAATTGGTCACAGAAAGTATACCCTTTGGCGACCAAAAAAAAAATTGGTCGCGGAAAGTATACTATTGGCGACCAAAGGCTTTTTTGGTCGCGGAAAATTACCCTTTGGCAACCAAAAAAAAAAGTTGGTCGCGGAGAGTATAGTATTGGTGACCAAAGGCTTTTTTGGTCGCAGAAGAACACCTTTTGGCGACCAAAAAAAAAAGTTAGTCGCTGAAAGTATACTATTGGTGACCAAAGGCTTTTTTGGTCGCGGAAGATTACCCTTTGGCGACCAAAAAAAAAAGTTGGTCGCGGAAAGTTATGGCGGGATAAATTTTTAAAAAAATGATACTGCTGTAATTACATGCTATTTTTCTGTTTAGGTATTAAAAGTTTTATAAAATAATATATAACCCAATTTTTATGGGTTATATATATTTTTTTGCCAAATATGAACAAGAAGCATGTTGTTGGCAGAGTAGATTGGGTGCATGGTGACTCCTTGGTCAGGAGTTCAAGTCCCAGGCAACACAAAAGAATTATTTTTTTTGGGTCAAGGCGCTGACTTTTGGCGACCAACCTATCTTTGGTCGCTAAAAGTTTACTTTTGGCTAATATGAATTGGACTTTCCGCGACAAAAAAAGTTGGTCGCGAATGGTCACTTTTAGCGACCAAAGGCTTTTTTGGTCGCAGAAAACTATCTGTGACGAGGCTTTAACGACCAACTCGCGACCAACATATTTTGGTCGCGAAAAGGTTTTAGCGACCAAATATGGTACTTTTCGCGACCAAAATGTTGGTCATGGATAGTGTTTTTTCTTGTAGTGGAGGTGCAATCAACAATTCTTACAAGGGGGCACTACACTTAATAGAAATGTGCATGTAGTGGATTTGGAGAATATCTGTTATCCTAAGGAGGAGTATGGTATAGGTTTGAAGAGGTTAGAGCATATCAATATAGCCTTGTCAACTAAATTAGGATTATGGATGCTTTGTGAGAAGCAAGCTCTTTGGGTCCAGGTGTTGAAAATTAAATATTTGAATAGGGACAGATCTTTTTGGAAAGCTCAAAAGGATAATATATCATACACATGGAAAAGTATCCTTAAAGGTCGTGACCTACTTCAACAAGGTTACTTTGAATTGGCGACTGGGGACGCGCTATACTTGGCAACTAATTCCTGATCAAGAACAAAGAAGAATCGTGAGTAGTTATTGGCTCTCAAATGGAGATTGTAATGGATCTGCTTTGGATGAACTCTTACCATAAGAGATTAAATCTCAACTCATAAGCGTGATATTTTTTAGCATGACCCCATAATCCTCCAAGTCTTACCATAAGAGATTAAATCTCAACTCATAAGCGTGATATTTTTTAGCATGACCCCATAATCCTCCAAGTCTACAACTGTTACTGCATAACTACTATAACTGCCCTCTTATTTCTAAAGGTTCAAACCTCATTAAACTTTCACCTTCACCTGTTGAACTGTCTTTCTTTCATGATGTCACGTGTCACTCAACACTCTAGGCTTCCCATCGATAGAGAGAAACCTCTATTCTACGCATGACTCTTCTTGCAAGTTGCCCACTAAGCCCATGACTTAGCCTGATAACTACTTCATCATCTGGACCTAGCCTGATAACTGCTTCATCATCTAAACCATCCAATGCATGTGATCAACCACTTTAATGCCACATATCCCTTTAGTTGATATAGAACTCTCTTTCCGACTTTGCCGCGTGTCATTATTCAATTGATCCACTTGTCGATAGGAAATTTATGAAAATGGGTGCAAACAATGTCCCCTGTCCTCTAACTCTTTAAGAATAAGAAATCTCGAATTCTTGAAGAGTTGTATATAAAATTTATCTAGCTTGGACTTTTTCACCAAACAGACATTTATAAAAATATAGGGTAAATTACATTGACACCCCCTGAGATTTATATTTATTACAGTTTCCCCCCTCACCTTTTGGAAATTACATCCCCCTGCCTGAGGTTTAAAGTTTCATTACAGATTGCCCCCTGAGGTTTAAAGTTTCATAACAGTTTCCTTCCTCACCGTAATGATCATCATATATAAAATTAAATTAACAGAGGGGTAAGTGTAATTTTCCAAATGTGAGGGGAGGAACTGTAATAAACATAAACCTTAGGGGGTGTCAGTGTAATTTACCCTAAAATATATGTTATGAGACATGTATAAACTATTTTTCACCAATAACAACTATATTCTTTGGTCTTATATTATTAAAATAATGTTGGATCTTTAGCCAATCCACCAACATCTATAAATTGGCCCTTTCAACAAACAAACATCTGTAGAATACATGCTTAGGGCCAAGAAATCTGGTGATCAAACACCACATATATGCCAAAATAGAATTATTGATAATTTGATGTTGTTGTTATTAATAATCATATGCCACATAATTGGCAAAATCACAACTCAATCCAAGGGAACTACATTATTCGACAGAGCATATTGGAAACATCTCAAATATGTGATGTGCAAATGGCTAACTAGAACCACCTTCCACCAACACAGTATCTTTGTGCAAATACAACTGTTGCAATCTCCTTTGGTCTTGTGTTCATATTTGATTGACACAATTTGGACCAAAAAGGTTTCTTCATGCACTCGAGAATTTGATCACA